TGCAGAAATAAATCTCATTTAATGTGATCCATGTATTTCCATTTCATTTTTCCTCAGCTAATTGATTGCATTCATGTCACATGATGAACAGAGGATAAAAGCCCACCAGCAGTAGGTAATGGCTTTGCTCAAATCGGCAGTTTTAAACCAAATCATGGTGACCCCAGTCCATATTAGAGTTACATATTTACTATGTTGACACATCAGACATGTCTGCTGATTAACTGTGGGAACCTCCTGCTTCTTATTGACATTGTTTAACTTTATTGAACTATTGGCTACTAATTGCTGCTAAGTGAGAGCTTCTACTGATTAGTATGGTTCACTCATTCACACAAGGGATTGAGGAAGAGGCTTATAAAAAGTAAAAATAGGGGTGTTTGTAGGAGGGCGGGTGAGTGGGTGGTAAGTGGAAAGTTTTGTTACAATGCACGAATCAGAATACAACTGCCAGCTCAGTTGTAATGTAAACTAATCAGCAGTCATTAATACTGCTTTGGTGGCTGCTACGCCTTTTGTCAGTTTGGTTTAAGCTTTCTTAAAACATTACAAAGGGGAAAAAACCCTGATGCTTATTACCAAGTAATTACATTAATTACTCGACTGTTGTCTTAATTGACCCTGACTCTTATTAGAAAGATGTAAACAATCACATTTGGACAAGAAAAAATATAAATACTATATAAACTAGGCTAGTGAGGCAGGCGTCCAGGGAAAGCTGTATCTCCCTAGCAAATATTATTTTTAATTGGGTGGGCTGTTGAGCAAACATCTAAGCTTTTTTTTAAAGAATCATGTAAACCAAGATAGACTTGAAAATAAATAGCTCCATCATTTACTTTTATGTTAGAAAGCTGTTTACTGTGTTCCAGTTGTTCAGCCATCAATGTACTTGGGCTAATATGGCAGTGGATGTGTTTTATCACATATCATCTGAGCTTAGATCAAAGCAAAATCTTTCTTGGTTTAAGCAAAAGCAGCACAAGTATCATACAGATCAAAACCAATGTTTTATTTCCAAAACCAAGTAACTGGCTATCTGATAGCTACCGTCTGTTGAATCCAGGTCAAGCCTTTGACTGTTTACCTGAATAAACAATAAGGAGCTGGGTCGCCTACAACTAGAGCAGAACTGTCCTCCACGGCTCCCGATAGGAGAGCCCATATCTCTCCCTTCCTGAAGTCCCTTCATTGGTTTCTTGTTGCTTCCAGGACAGATTTTAAAATCCTAGGCCCTAGTCCTTAGTTTCATAGACATTTCATGGACAGTTCAATGAGGTCTTCAGGTTAAAATCTGCTCATGGTTCCTTGAGCCTGTCTCAGAACCTGAGGAGGCAGGTCTTTTAAAGTGGTGGCACTTCATCTCTGGAACAAACTCCCCTTTTTATTTATTTTTTTTTTATTAAATTTTTTTTCCTACATGCTTTGATTCTGTTATATTTTCCTATATTTTAATCATGTAAAGCAGCACTCCCCAACCACCGGGCCGCAGACATATATATGTACTATATGTATATATATATATATATATTATATATACTATTTTTGATCAGGACCTGTCATTTAAATCCCATATCAAAGAGGTTTCTAGAATTTCCTTCTTTCATCTGAGGAACATTGCAAAAATTAGAAATATCCTGTCCAGGGGTGATGCTGAGAAACTAGTCCATGCATTTGTTACTTCAAGGCTGGACTATTGTAATTCTTTACTATCAGGAAGTCCACAAACTGTAGTTAAAAGCCTTCAGCTGATCCAAAATGCTGCAGCCAGAGTTCTAATGAAAATGAAAAAGAGAGATCATATCTCTCCTATCCTGGCTTCTCTTCATTGGCTTCCTGTTAAATCAAGAATAGAATTTAAAATCCTCCTTCTCACATATAAAGCCTTAAATGGCCAAGCTCCATCTTATATCAGAGATCTGATTGTTCCTTATGTTCCTAACAGAGCACTTCGCTCTCAATCTGCAGGTTTACTAGTGGTTCCTAGAATTTCTAAAAGTAGAATGGGAGGCAGATCTTTTAGTTATCAGGCTCCTCTCCTGTGGAACCAACTACCAGTTTTAGTCCGTGAGGCAGACACCCTGTCTACTTTTAAGGCTAGGCTTAAAACTTTCATTTTTGATAAAGCTTATAGTTAGGGTGGCTCAGGTTATCCTGAGCTATCTCTATAGTTATGCTGCTATAGGCTTAGACTTTTGGAGGACATAGGGACCCCCATTTCATCATTCTGCTTCATTTTCTCTCTGTTCTCCTATTCTGCAGAATCTGTTAGTTCAATCTCTAACCTTCTGCTCTCTCTGCTTTTCCTCAGAGTAGCTTTGCCTCGTCTGTTCCTGTTTGGCTGTGACGTCATCCTGGAAAAAAACATCAGCTGTGCTGCTTCTATCAACACCCTTGTTAATAGATGTTGGAGATCGGCCTGTTTTCCAGTGTGGTCCTGTTTCTCTGACCGTGACTGAGTGGATGTGCTCTCTTCGTCCTCTGGCATGGGAGCTGCCTTGGAGCTCGTCTGCCTGGCTGTGTGTTTCCTGGACGGGGCCGCCTTTTACAGCTGCTTTTTGTATCTCTGCTTCTGTCTCCTTGAACCCCAGTCGGCCTCGGCAGATGGCCGCTCACACTGAGCCTGGTTCTGCTGGAGGTTTCTTCCTGTTAAAAGGGAGTTTTTCCTCTCCACTGTCGCTACAAGCATGCTTAGTGTGGGGGATTGTATTTGAGTCAATGAGTCAATACAATCAACTGGTTTTCCTTAGATAGAAAACTTTGTATCAATTTGACTGTATGATCTGGTTGAACTGTAAAGTGCCTTGAGATGACATGTGTTGTGAATTTGGCGCTATATAAATAAACTGAATTGAATTGAATTGAATATAAGTATATATATAATTTATCGACGATCAGAGTGATGTTTTATTTTGAAAAATATAAAAAATTGCGGTGTTCTCTCCTAATTACATCTGTCGGTGCATCTGTGCCTCTTGACACAGATTAATTCAGTTGAAGACTCATCCTATCTATAACATCCTATCTTTGTGAAGCGGGATTTTCTGCGGTTATAGCGACCAAAACAAAACTACGGAGCAGACTGGACATCAGGAGCACACTTCGTCTGTCATTGTCTCCGATTATGCCTAGATGGGACCGGCTTGTTGTTTTATTTTTATGCTGTTTGTATTTGATTTTATGCCATGTGCAAAAAAGGTTGGGGACCGCTGATGTAAAGCACTTTGCATTGTCTTTGTACTGAATTGTGCTATACAAATAAATTTGCTTTGCCTTTGCCTTGCCTTTCCTTTGCACTTTCTGGATTCTGTTCACACGTTTAAAAAGCAGCTAAAAACTAGACTGTTTGCACAGGCAGATTGCAAACCATTTTATTCATTTATTTGTTTAGTTTTTGCTTGTGTTTTATTAGTTTTTTCTTGCTTTTTTACTCATATTTTTGTGTTATCTTGCGAGGAACTTTGTGACCCATCTTTGAAAAGTACTATACAAATCGAATTTACTTACTACTTAAAGTCTGAGGGCAGATAGCATGTGCCTAATTAACCTGTGTGTTAGATTTCTTTTGGTTGATCCATCAACAAAAAAGGAAATTGAATGCTTGGGAAACAAAAATCCCAAAGACACATACACTTATATGGCCCTATGTTTATTTAGTATTAGTACCTTTCATGCAGATCTTGAATTAAATACAGGTGAGCTGTAGCTGTCTTAAAACCATTACCCTTTCAGCAGCTACACTTTACGCTGCAGATGAAAAAAGAACGAAGGTAGGCATTTTCTTTGTGAATTTCATAACACCATCTTTACTATTTCAGATTTGGTCTCAATCTGATATGAGCTTTTCTTCCACATTAGCCTTTCTAAAAAATGGCTTGTGTCCAATGTTTATGGGATTGTTATGACTTGTTTTTTCAAACTGTGTCTTTTAGCAACTCTTTCATATGGCTAACATTAGATTAGTAGAACGGCCATTTAAAGGAGTCATAAATTGGTCGCTTACTCATTCGGTCCTTCTGAACTTGTCTTTAAATTCATGTTTAATCATTTTAAGAGAAAGAAATTCAGGCCAGTTTTTATGCCCCCCCTTTTTTTCCTCTAAGGATATGCATGAGAATTTGACTTGTGTGTATGCACGTTCATGTGAATGCATCGTTAGCAGCATCAGCAATTTTTCATGGTTTATTTATCATAATTCCCTTGTCTTTTACACAATAATTTTACAAAAGTTACTGCAACACTTAACAACTGCCTGCTGGTGAGTACCTGATTGGTGAAAATAGAGACAGACATCATATGACTGATGTAAATCAAGAAGGAGGACCAAAACCAGCTTCTTGTGGGCCTCTCTGGTTCGAACTAAGGATCCATATAAAAAGCAAAAACAAAAAAAACATTAATTTCTACATTCTGGAATGCCTGGTAGGTTTTAACTGGGGCTAACACACACTTTAAAAAGAAAAGGTCTGATTTTCAGGCGCTTACCCCTTTAATAGTTGTCCTGTAAACAAGTTTTGCCACTTGAGGCACTGATCTCTGCAGATACCCCAAAGTTACTCTGGTTCTCTTGGTTGCTTCTCTGAGTAATGCTCTCCTTGCAGTATAAATGGGCCAACATGTTATGCAGTTATGTTCTATATTTATTTTTCGTTTTATGATCGACCAATGGTTCTCTGTGAGACGTTCAAGGCTTTAAATACTTTTTTTCAACAAAACCCTAACTGTCTTTTCTAATTTGATGATTACTGAAGTGAGTTGTCTGCAATAGATTACATGCATCATGTTTTGAATCAACTAAAAGCTATTGAAAGATGTAAAATTTTTGTAAATATCTTCCAAAGCATGTATCTTTTTATCTGTACTTTTCACACAAGTTTAAATTATTCCATGGCTTAAAACTTTTGCTAGCTAGCATATATTCCTTAACATAAAATCCATAAAAATTAGTCCATAAAGTTAATATGCACAAATAAACTCAAGATCAGATAAAATAATCCACACAGCTCTGCAAGTTTTACAAAAGCTTCGGTTTTTAATCAAACATCTATTTACAAACTTTTTTTGCCACCATATGTAAAAATATGCAGTACATTTTTTCAAATGAAAATCAAAAGCTACAGAACCTCTGTCTTTAGGTAGTTCTTTGTCCTGGGTCTCAGCTCTGGACTGACTGGGGCACTCAGCCTTCGCAGATCGTAGTCCCCCATGCACACAGCCACAAAGAACAGCGTTCCTCCGATGACCTGACCCAGACCTCCAAACCATCCAGAGAACATCGCCTCGCCATGCTCCCACCGAGGCATCACATCAGGAAAACCTTCATCCCAGAACTCCACCACAGTTGTGTACGCCAAAATAGACACAGGAGCCAGAATGGTTAGTCCCGACACCCAGGTCATTACCCCGCTGAAGATCAGGAGCCCTCTCTTTACATCTGGCTTCCTTACACACATCTCAACCCCCTCAAGACCCAGAAAGGCGGTGACCAGAGCAAAACCTCCAGTTCCAATGGATATAAACACAAGGACCCTGGAGATCTGCAGATCCATTGGTAGACCCAGGACAGAATCGTAGGCCTTGCACTGAATCCCTCTCTCCTCTGTGTAGAGGCAGGTGAGCCAAAGCCCTGAAAACCAGTTCTCCACCTCATTGAGATCCGAGTTCATTGTTTTCCAAAGGGGTAAAAATGCAGTGACCAGGGAGGTGACGTAGCTCCCAAAAGATAAAAACATTGCAGTTCTCTGCATCATTTTCGTTGTTAAAAAAGCCATCTTCTTCTTTTGCAAGAAAAACCTTGTGTGCTGCGATTCTTGTGTCCAAGTTCATGTAACTGGATAAGGGACCAAGAGAGACTCTGTACCCCGTCCAAACGAATGGGAAGGCCCACTGCTTCAGTCTCCAAAAAAAAAAAAAAAGTACCCGATATAAGAGGAAGATAATCCAGGACTGAGGCTCCACAATAGAGCTACTGTTCTGTTTCAGCGTTCAATGTCATCACAGTGATTAATGAACTCTGTTTTTAAATAAAACCAGGTATGTTGAGTGAAATACCAAGCCCAAAGTGCATGCCTGCAGAATTTAGCTTTAATGAATGAAACTGGATCACTAGATACACACACTGAAATACAAAAATAAGTTTTCTTTGCTATTCATGCCACTGGATGTTCAAGTATGCAGTACTTTTAAAAAGTATAAAATTAATATCTTTTTCAATAAAATGTTGAGGTAACAAATGTAATAATGCTGCTGTTTTGAAACATACATTTACATTCTAAAGAAACCAAAATGGGGACATTTTATTTGCCAAGTGTCTCAAGTGTCTGGATTGTGAAAAGCACTTTGTGTTCACTCCATTAGACCATTCAAAGCTTTGAAGGCTCGAGTTCTTTTTGAATTTAACTCTCAGTGTGATTGTTAAAATGTCAGTGAACTTTGTTTGCTGATTTGATTAGTTCTCCCATTTTATCACATGCTTTATAAAATTCCAAATTCTATTTTACTCCTAAAATGTATCTATTTATTTAAATTATTAGTTAGTTTTGTCGCATTTAGGTCATGGATACTGTATCCTTAGCAATAATGGCCTGAGCAAGAAAGTAGCAACAACTTTCAATGATGACACAGTATTAAATGACATGCAGTAAAATGTATACTTTCATGATATATATCTACAGATTTTATTTTTTACCTGGGATTTAAATTCCTTATGAGGTTGTAGGAAGCCAGGATCCCCTCATATGCACAAGAACATGCAAAAGGCCACCAGGCTGGAAACTGAACTCTGTACATTCTTGCTCAAAGACCATGGTTGCACAAACTTCAACCCTGTTCACCATCTGCAAATTCTTAAACTAATTAAAGTTGTCATTTGGATACATTTATTCCAAGTAAATTAAATAGCTTTTTATCGCACTGATGCACAATTTTAGCTTAAGACAATTTTCGAAAGAGATCAGATTTAGATAAATAGATGGCAAAATGCACTAAAACTAAAATACACTACGGCTGCGTTTGTCCTAACTCTCAGAAACTAAACTTTGGGCTGTCACCATCTGCCTGTAAGCCACGGTTTAATAAAAAGACATGCTTTGATTTATTAAAATATGTTATTTTTTCAGTGACATTTTAATTTAGTGAGGTGCACTCATCTAAAGCGCTATAAAAAGGTATTTCCCCTTTTAAAGTTATGTCCTGTTATTGTGTTGTTTGCAACATTATGCATCCCTCTGGAAACATTTCTATTATTCTGCAGCATTGCTTTAACACAGCCGCACTGGATTTTTTTTCTTTTGTTTTGACATTAATGGACTATTTAATATTATACCACAACATCCCTTTTCTAAAAAGTCTGTTTTCTAGGTTTATTTACACCATAAAAGAAAAACTGAATAAGACCATTTGAAAATAACATTTCGACCATACCTGTATACTGTTAAAAACAAGAGTAGTTTAGCTATCCAAGCTAAGGTGACATTAGATCAAAAAGGGTTCAAATATTTCAAAGAAAACAACTTGAAATGGATTTAAAAGAGAACCATTTGTGTCTAATAAATGTCCAAAACGCATTCTGAGAAGATTGATTTATTATGCGTTTCTTTAAGGCTTTAAATACAGGACTCTGATTGACATACGTTTGGTGATGCTGAAATAAAGGTCACTATTACACAGTTCAGGGTAACATGACTGTCGAGGCTTTTTGGTTAGTATTGGTAACGTCATCATTACACATAATTAAAACAAACTGTACACATTTGAAACACTTTTATGTAATGACTAATTCCTTCCATCACAGCAGAAAATAAACCAAAGTGAAGAACAGAAACGGGCCTAAATTAATCATTTGATGGCGCTTAAATTGCATTTTTATTGACTTAATGATGCTTCAACATATTTTAAACATACTGCAACAAGCATGATCAGTAAAATTCATATGGGTTAAAAAAAAAAAGATAAATACTGAGCAGAGAACAGGCTTCCAAATGGTTGTATATATAAAATAACTGATAAAGTACATATTTTATTTAACAGTATAAACATTTCTAAGCCACATTCTGGTTTCTTTGATTTTACACAGTGAGAGAAAATATGTAGTGTAGATAAAAAGCCATTTATCATACACACGTCTCAGACATGCAGGGTAAAGAAAAATCCTAAAGCATAAATAAAATAAAATAAATGTTGGTGAAGCAGTAATGAATAGAAATATATAGATAGGACATGTATGGCTTTTTTAGAAGAAAATGTCTCTTCTTTGATTCACCCTAAATATCAGAGCCCATTTCAGCACACTGTTTGTCTGATATGTGCGTAGCTAGAGACTCAATGATGTCCAACAACAGCAGCTGGCTGAGAGACCGCAGATTGGGGAGCTTGGATACCTTTGGGAGGGGAGAACAAAGCAAAATGAAAAAAATGTCAGAAATTAAGACAGTGAGAGACACAAAAAAAACGGGTGATAGGAAGCTGTTAATTGCCCATGCATAAAAAAAATGACGTTAGGTGCAAAAAGAAGCTGAAAAGACACAAAAAACAGAGCTAACACTCCAGTGAGAGAAAGTGAAAATTGAGTGTTTTGCTTTTTTCATTGCATAACAAACAATAATCAGAGTGCCACTGTGACGCCCCGCAGCTCTTTGATGAGGTGCTTACACAGCCGGCCAAGCTATAAACAGTCTCCTCTCTACTCAGAAAACGGAGCCTATTGCGCTAAGAGGTCAAAAGTGTCAGTTTCCCACAAAGATGATGAGACTAGAGGGTTAGCTCAGCTGCACTGAGTGGGCAGCATACCCCCAAGGCTCCGGATACAAGCCCACCCACCTTGATGAACTGGTGGACGATAATGTGGAGGCAGTGTTTCTTCATGTCTAAAGCCTGAGTCTTATCTGCTGCCTCCAGGATCTAGGAGAAATGAGAGGAGAAATTCTTCAGTTAGAGAGAAGAGAATGTTTTTTCCCAATTAGGTCACAGATCCCCCCAGGGTGAAAAATATAAACACCTGCAGGACGTTCTCCACAGTCACATTCATCTCCAGATTCTGCTTACAGTAAGCCTGGAGCCTGTTATTGGAAAAGCCGTAGTAGTACGGAGCAGCAAACAGATAGCTGGTTATCAAGGTCAAGGAAAAATGCTCTACATGTGAAACAGATCTGATGTTCAAAAAGAACGAGTTCAATCAATAAGAGACAAGTCAAACAGTCAAATTAAAAATATAGTTAGAAAATTACTTTTTAAAGTCAAAAATTTGCTGCATAACTTTTCTTTTCTACTTCGAATAACCTCATGTGTGAAAATGTGGGGAAACACAAGGACGTAATCCATGACAAAAATAGTGAAGACACCCACCAAAATTATGGATAATTATTTGGTCAGAACACATTAAACTTTGGTAGATTTAATTAATTAAACCAAGGAAATATAGAACAACTGCAAATATGGTTTGAAAAAAATAAAAATCTTAAATTATAATAAAAGCCATTTATTCAATGATAAGTATTTTTAAAAGGGTAAATTAAAAAAACAAATCTATCCAATGTGCAGCTGTTTTGTTAAAATCACCAGTTTTTTCGATAGAAATCCAGCTAATAACTTTCATTTTCACTCTTTTTCCAACAGAGTGTCGTTAATGCATTTGTATTCTGATTTTCTTCTTTACACTAATCTCAGTCATTATTACCTTTGGATCTTATTCACCATCAAAAACATTTATCTCCTGCTAAACATTAGAAAAAAGGGACATGTTTCAACACTACCTGGCAGCTGTGATAAAGCATTTGTTTTCAATACCTACAAACTGGACGGGTTAAATGTGTTTTGTTTAAGGGTTTTCTGCAGGTAAGAGATTGTTAAATTGATAAAAATATGTTTAAATTTCTCACAGAGGGTAAACTTAGCATGATCAGCGGGAACTTGCAGCTGATGTTAGTCTTTAATTGGATACCATGTTCCATAATTTGAGAAGGATACAGAGAATCTTCTGGAGGCATGTTGACGTCACCGTAGTAGATGTAGCGAAGCATCGATTCGAAAGCCTGCTTGCTTGGGACCATTTCACCAATGGATATATTCACCTGACCATCTTCTGGCATGAAAGAGCGGAACATCGCCTCAAAGTAACTGGAATATCAAAATAAAAGCTCAGTCAGCTTCATCATTAAGACAAATGGAAAACAATGACTGTCAATAGGAAATGTACTTTTATCCAAATCCACAAAGCTTAACAAAATGATGAATAACCTTTGAACTTTATTACATTTATAGGATGAATTAGAGTATTTTACTGGGATTAAAGTTGTTCTAGCAACACAAAGCAGCACAAAGTTACTGTATATAGTGGGGCAAAAACAATATTTTTTTTTTTTATAATTATTATTTAAACCCTAAATAAAGTTTGATGTAAAAAAAAAAAAAAAAAAAAAAATGCTTTCAAAAATGATGTAAACATATTCCACTCATAAATACACCATTCCCACTGTGAAACATGGTGTTGAAAGCATCATAAAGAACACAGGGCCAGAGCCTTAATGAATAACAACAGAACTGAACTGAACAACTGAATTTGACAAATTAATAGTGAATAAAACGTTTATGAAAATTAGCAAATTAATTCAGATATTGTTACTTAGCCATCCTTCAACAGAATGATGATTAAAAAAAAAAACAAAAAAACAAAAAAAACAAATCATGAAACAGGCCTGGACAAAATTTCCCTAGAGGAGACCGAAAATAATGTGACCAAAGGGACATGTTGGATCAAATGTGTCCACTAATTAGTATCCCATCATGTCTGGTACCCTGTAATCAGTCAGAGGGCCTATGTGTATATAGAGCTGTCTGGTGACATGGTGTGTACCACACTCAACATGGACCAAAGTGACCGAAGAAAAGAGTTGTCTCAGAATATCAAAAAGAACACTATAGATCAGCATGTTAAAGGTAAAACCTATCAGACCATCTCCAAGCAGCTGGACGTTCCTGTGACTACAGCTCTACATATTATTTAGGAATATCAGATCCACGGGGCTGCAGCAAAGTCCCGGGATGATACAGCAGGAGGAACATTGATGACAAAGCAAAGAGACGGATAATATGAATGAAGACACGAGCCAAGAAAAAAACTTCTAAAGAGATTAAGGGTGAACTTCAAGTTCCAGGAAGATCAGTGTCCTGTTGCACCATCTGTCGTTGGTTGAGCAAAATTGGACTTAATGGGAGACGACCAAGGAGGACAACATTATTGAAAACAAATCATAAAAAAAAGATGTCAAACACTGAAATTTGCCAAATTACATATTGGCAAGCCCCAAAGCTGTGGGAGAATGTCATATAGACAGATGAGACAATATTGAAACCTTTTCCAAAGACAAATATGCTTTATGTTCACAGAAACGTTCACAAATTAAACAAAGAAAAATAAAACACCTGCACAGATGAATCATATCAAGAAAAGAACACTGTTCCTATTGTGAAACATAAAGGAGGCTCTGTTATATTTGACTAAACTGATGTGGCCTTTTAGGATCTCTACACTAAATCCTACTGAGCATATTTGAAAGGAGCTGAAACATGCTGTCTGGAAAAGGCAGCCTTCAAACCGGAGACAACAGGAGCAGTTTGCTCATGAGGAATGGACCAAAATACCTGCTGAGAGGATCAGAACTCTTATTGACAGCAACAGGAATCATTTGAGTGCAGAGATTGATTCAAAAGGTTGTACAGCAAAATATTTAGTTAAGGGGAACATCATTTTTGTTCAGGCCTGTTTCATTTGTTTATTTTCAAAATCATTCAACGTCTGACTTTTATTTGTTAATCTTTATAGATTTTTCATTCATCATTACTTTTTTCAAATTCAAGTTATTTCTGGGACCATTGTGGGTTTTTACTTTCACTAACCGAGCAGTACAAACATTTTTGTTCATGTGTGTAAGTTTAAAGCATATCCATCTGTCAGAATGGCCTAGTCAAAGTCCACAGCTAAATCCAATACATTTTAGTTGTGAAAAGGTACAACTGAATCTCGAGGTACAATCAATGTGCACTATATCGGGCTAGTGATTTAGAAAAGCTGGGGCATAAGATTAAAAGCCAGACTTTTCAGGTTGTAACCTGACAAAATGTGGAAAAGGTTAATGGGATATATGCACCACTAATGAAAAGTAAAATAAAATAAAAAAAAGTCTAAAATTCCACATATTATTTGTGTTTTCACTACCTGGATCGAGCTGCAAGTATGGCTTTGTGTGCGGGTCGAGGATGGCCGTCTAACAGCAGAATGATGTCACAGAACTCCAGACCTCCTCCCTCCAGGTAGGCTTTCATATCCTGGACCAGGGAGGTCCCGATGTCCACAGGCTGGTCTGAATACACTCTGGGAGGAGGCTGCTGCTTCCGCCGCACTATCTCCACTATCAGTGGGGTGGAGAGACGCTCAAACTCTTTCGTCATGATCACCTGATTAAAGTGGGACTCCTTCACCACAAAGTTGAGACAGTGTTCCTGAAGAGTGGGACATTTTGTTGGCATTAGGGTCAGAATTAATTATTCATCTTCCCCTTGCTAATCTGACAAAGATAAAAACACTGACCAGTAAAAGACAATTAACTGAAATAAGACAGGACAACAGTCCCACTGAACCACAACCACTAGAGGTCACTAGAACCTTGAATTTGCCGTTTTAATCTGGGATGTACCTTGAGCTGGTCCAGTTGCAGCTTGTTGGCGTTCTCACAGACACTAAGAACGTTCTGCAGATCTACGGATGCCTCGATGTACTGCACACAAAGCTGCTCCAGGCGGGAAAGCTTAAAACTTAGAGCCAGTTTGTACACATCCATTATCAAAAGAACGTCCTGGACATGACCTGGGTGACAACACATGAAAATATAAGTACTTATAATTCCCACAGCATATTCCTTCATCAAGTATCTTTAGTAGGGAAGGTTGGGTGTACCTCTGCGGGGGTACTGAATCTTGTCAGTATAGAGAAACTGCATTAGGACTTCAAAAGGCTGGGCTTCTGCTTCCCTGATGGATACTTCCAGCAGGGGCTGAGTGCCTGATGACTTATTGCCTGCAGGGACATCTCTTGGGCCTCCAGCTGCTCCCTCGTCACTTTCCTCACTGCTTTCTCGTTTGGTCCTTTGCTAAACAACAAGTTAGGTAACAATTTTTACTATTTCAGTTTGGTAATATCTAACATTCCAATCCTTCAATCAGTAGTTTTAAACAACACAGCTTTATAATTTCAGTTGCCGTAACATTTGTGTACATAAAGACAAACTAAATATCATCATATTTCTTAATGCAGATCTGCTCGACCAGATAACATGAAATTATAAAGTAATTTGCCCACAGAGTAAGCCAAGTTAGTTTAGCTGCTATGGCTGTAAAAATAAGAAAATACAGTTCAGTTCAAATGAACAGACTAAGTGCACAAACTGAATATCAAAGTGCATCACTAATAAATTGGAGCAGTTTTTACTTAGAAGTATTTATACACTATGGATTTAAAACCACAAAAGTTTGGGGGAAATTGTTGCATTAAGCTAGTCAAATATTTTTAGCAGATGGAAAAAAAAAAACAGTTAAAAGAAACACAAACATGTATTCAGTCTGTTTGGATCAAACGTTTGTAGAATCACGATTTGCTGCAGCTGCCACTGATAAAATAGCTATAAGTTATTGTTATTTTCTCTTTGTAAAAAGTATCAATCTCAGTCAGATGAGACTGAGTGATTCTGCGGAGAAGTTCTGTTCAAATTCTTTCAACAGATTCTCAATTGAATCCAATTTTAGGGGCAGGATGGGGATCGCTCACCCCGACAGGAAATCCAGCACAGTGTTTGGCTCCAACTAGGGCAGTGGTAACCAATTAAAAATCAGAGGGTTCCGAATAAAGAAAATCAACAACCAGTAAAGGTCCAGAGACATTTTTAATAATAATCTATTACTTTAAACAGCATTTAACACTAAAATAAAATTAGGTATTTATCCATTCATATTATATATTGACCTTTTAAATAAAAAAAAAAAAAAAAAAAAAGAAGAACATTTTTCCATTTTAAAATCTAAAGTGTTTTTGAATTAGAGAAGAACAATCTTTCACTTTGGTATATAGACAATTTCGTGATTCACATATTTTATAAAACACCTGAACTGACCGCTTGTTATTTATTTTTCGTTCTTTTTTATGGCTTAATGAGAGAAGTGGGCTTTACGCTGACCTGCAAGGCTTTAAACCTGGGTCTGACTGGTGACAAAGTCATTCTAAAGCACATATCGAGGTGCTCATTTTGAGCCTGGATCCATATTTTTTTTTTATCATGGTCATGGTGGGGAATCCTTCTTCACAGCAGTAGGTTGAGCCAAATATACTCAAAATGTGCAGGGTCATCTTTGAGCACGCCATTTCACTTTTCTCTCACCAGTTCACCGCAGTTCTTTCAGCAGTCCACACTTTCTCTGCTCTCTTTTTCTCGTCATCTTCTCATTTTTCCCCACCGCCCGGCTTGCCACAGGTTTGCCTGCTGTGTCTAAAAGTAGCAGTAGCAGCAACCCAGACTGACCAGCTCATTGGCTGTGTCGCTGCCATCGGACAACATGCGGTAATTTATAAATGTTTTAAATCAGGTTGAGTCCGGAATAGCCAGCAGGTCCGGATCCGGACCACGGTCCACTAATCCGTGACCTCTGATCTAGGGTATCCAGCATCTAGCGAACTGCAACAGAACTTCTACTAACCATCTTTCTGAAACGTCTTTCCTCCCTTTGTGGAATGAAAAACCAATAGTTTTCCATGCAGCAGCTTGCCGGGTCATCTTGATTGCAATTTACAGCTATTTAGTATCTGGATTGCAATGAAGAAGCTAGAGTTTAACTTTCTGAAACGTGATGGTGTGGGTGACTGACCTGCCGCTGTCTGTCTCTGGCCTGCAGGATTTTCTTCCGAAGCCACTGACACCTTGCAGTAACTATGGCTATGTGCCCCAAGACTCTCTCCTCTCTCTGTGAACAACGCAACAATGAGGCAACACGTTAGACAGACAACAGCAAAGTTGAGTTTAAATTTTGGGAAAATTAAACAAATAAATAACTTCTGTTTCACACACCTCGCCCAGAATAAACTCCACATCACAGAATTGACGGTTCTCCCACAGTTTTCCATAATCCTCATGAAGGGTACACTTTGGGTAGCTTGAGAACTGCAAGACAGACATTTATCATCCAGCATTGCCTTGTGTTTCAGTCCATCTATCTTTCATCTAGCTCCATCCATCTGTAGTATTTCTGCAATCATTCCCAATTACCTGGAATCTGTACATCTCCCCACTGCGTACGTTGTTGTCCACAGTCCCTCCAAAGATGTACATGGCATCTTGAATTACAGCAGCAGCATGGAAAAGTCTCCCACTTGGCATCTGAGTAGGATAAAATTGAGCTCATGAGGCAGAGTGTTTCAGATAAGCATAAAAAGCTTTAAAGTTCCTTAATTGGAAAATCAGTAGAACAGCAAACAAGCGCACTATTCGGATAGGTTGAATTTCAAAGTTGAAAAACCACAAGATTAACCTGCGACAAATGTTCCTCCACTATTTTTTTTTGTAAGTTTCTTTTTTTTCATCTTTTATAAACATTTAAAAATATATCGATTGTGAAGCAGGTCCTTCTACATAGCTTTGAATAAGGAATCTGCAAGAAATTTGAGACTCTAAATGAAGAAAAGGAAGAAACCAAGGAAGTCCAAGGAAGGAAAAAAAAAAAAAGGAGTCAAGAAAGGAGGGAAGGCCACAAAAAAGAAAATAGGTGCATAAGAGGAGTTATGGGTGGAGGGTTAAAGGAAAACAAAAAAGGGACGAACAATGACAAAAGAAAGCAAGGAAAAAAGTAGGATGGATGAGGGAAAATGCAACTGTTAGAAAATCTAATATGGAAATAAAAAGATTGTTATTGACTTTTACACGAGGAAAATAAAATAAAATTATGTTTTCTAAATTTTAGGACTGCATAGGAATTCTGGGGGATGCCACAGAGATCCCATTTTTGACTTGAAAATCCAAACCTGCTTCCTTATGAACAGAAACTGAGAACTCTTAACAAATAATTTAAATGTATATCAAACTACTCAGCAGCATAATTTAAATAAAACCAATTAAAAGTGTATTTGTGAGGATGAGGAATACACAAACATCATAATCCATAAAAAAAAAAAAAAAAAAAAAAAAAAAAAAAAAAAAAAAAAAACTTGTTCGAAAAGGCAAAATCCTTAAACATCATAAAATTCTGCATGGTTTACTTTAGTTCTCAGATGGATGGTTTAGAATTACGTGACGTTCAGACTGCATGCAATTAATGCAGCAGAAGCAGCAAGTTTACATGCAAAGTCAATGGATGATGCGCATCAAGGTGCATCAGAAGGTCCTGCAAAGAGTCTCGAGCAGCTGGAGATGCAAATCTTGACACATCTGAGTAGCTGAAGCAGCGCCTCATGAGCTTCTTAGCATCTGAGGCTCGTGACACGCTTGACAAGCAGCAGCTCTTGGAGTTGGAAAAATTGAACTTTTGCTGCTCAACACGCCACATCAACCAATCAGAGAAGCTGTTCTGGCAGCTGGAAGGGAGACAAACACGGCGCTTCTGATGCAGAACGTTATGATCACTCCTCTGAAACAGTTGATTATTACCTAAATTAACCTAAAATGTCGAAACCTGCCGGCAAAATATGTCCGCTTTTATTATTCTGCCTGCAGTTTCGTTTACGTACGTGAAAAACTCTAATACATCTCTTCCAGCCGCCACGTACAGTGACGGCGTCACCACAGGTGAACGGGGTTTCTTGCTTCTCCGACAGCAAAATTATATTTGAAGGCTGGATCGTAATCTTGATGAACTGACTGCACAGGTGATGTTTTGAGGTGTACTTAATAACATATTAAAACTATTTTTTTATCCACTTAATACAGCAAATATAGCAGAACTGCTCTCTGCCATTGAAAAAAGGAGCGGTAGGAGCATCAGACGCATCTGAATACAATTTACTGGAGACGCTTCAGGAGCATCAAAGATGCACTTGATGCACATCTGACCTTAAGGTGTACAAGCATCAAAAATGAAGAAGTGGGCATTTTTTTTCTGCTCAAATCGCGATAGGTATGAACGTAGCATTTGAATCTTATGATAGTTTTTGGTACTATCCTATAACAAAAAAGTAAGATAATATTCATTACTTCTTTACAGTTTTTCCTAGGTTACTCTATGGCTTTGACTGCATGCCACAGCAATTAAAACCCTACAAGCACAGAAACTTCCCTTAAAAAATATACTAATTTAAGACAGGCTTCTTTAGTACAGCAGTTATATAAGCATCTATGATTTATATCACTAAACATCCTACAGTAATCCCTGTTAATCATATTCTTTGAATTTGCCAATGCCCCTAAAAAAAAAAAGGGGATTTTTTTTTTAAAGATCAATCAAAGTTCTTATCATGACATAAAAATGTATATCGATAAAAATAAACTATATCACAAATGCCCACGCCGATCCGAGTTCATTACCTCACTATCTTGACTGGGGTGAATCACCTCCCAGGTCTGAGAGTCCACATCATAACAGTGGAGCTCATTGGGGAGAGTGTTGTCTGCAGCCCCTCCGAATACATACAGGTGGCGGTCAAAAGCGACCATGGTGTGTCCATAGCGCCTCTGAGGAGGAGGAGGAGAGCCTCGCAGTAAATGCTCTGTAGGGATGCGTGTCCACCTGCAAACATGGGTTTTGTTAACGCATTAGTATCAAAGCCGTGTAACGAAAAAAACAAAAACCTTTTTACTCACATGTGGCCTTTAAACTCAAACTGAAAGAGATTATTAGTGATTTTGGCGCCACTCTGACCGGAGAACACAAACATCTTATCCCTGCATACAGCAACAGGGAAGTTACAGCAAGAGGGCGGGATCTCTCCACTCTGGTCGATCTGATTGAAACAAATAAGAATATGAGCACATGCATCCTTTCTAGATGAAATCATTTTAATTCAAAATATCCATAGGAATTCAACAGACCTCTTCCCAGCATGCATGCTCTCTGTCCTGCAGACTGATTGTCCACATGTCATTCAGCCTAAACACAAGCAGTAAATACAGATTTTATGATTCCATGCATATTAATGGAAGATTGAGAATTTAAGAAATAATTAAAAAATTAAAAACAGTACCTGGCATTTCCATCATAACCAGCAAAGATCCAAAGCTTATCGCTGTAAACTGTTGCACCGTGTGCAGATCTGGCAACTGGTAAGCTAAGAATACACAAATAAAAAAAACGGTTTACCAGAAACAAAACAACGAAAGACACATTTAACATCCTTCAAGCACAACATAACACTTCTCTCCTAAGATGATTGAATTTAACATGTATTGCTTATCTAAAAACAAATCTAAACCATGCATTCAAAGAATACTATTTACATAATGGGCTTCTTCCTGAACAGAATGATCCTGAACATATTTAAAAAGAAAAAAAAAATTAGAATGTTACCTTCCTTCCACTTTCCACTCTGTCCACTGTCCGGTGGCAAACTTGTACTCAAAAAGGTCATTTTTGTTTTTCAGGTTTGAATTGGAATAAATATCTCCGGTGTAGCCCCCTGAAATAAAAAAAATATTTAGTGTAAACCTCATAAGGGTTAGAAATGACTGGACTTGAAGCATTTTTTTTTTTAGATAAGAAAGGATTGGGTTACCAAAGACAAACATGCTGCTGCCATAGACCACTGCCGAGTGGTGGTATCTTGGAGCAGGTGGAGTTCCAGTGGTGAAAGCTCTGCGAAACACATCATGATCTACTATTAACTCATGTTCTGCACCACAGGAGCCTTCGTGTCCTTTCCTCTACTTTAAATTTTCTCATTTTACAACCAAATAATTCAAGACCAAACCCAAAGCAGTGTATATAACCGCATATACAAGATTTTAAAATAAAGTGACACATCCATATGTATTCACCCTGTCCACTTTATCAGATAGCCTCAATAAATCCAATGCAATCAGTTGCCCCTTTAAGCCAATAACGTTTTAAACAAAGTCCACCTGTTTGTAATTTATTGTCTGCATAAAACCAGCAGTTCTCTGAAAGCTGTAGAGGTTTGTTACAGAACATAAGTGATCATCCAGGTCTCAGCAGACAGGTGTTTGAGGTGGAATAATAACAATGCACAACACCATCATTCTAAGATTAAAAAATAGTGATGGCAGCATCATCATGTGGGAAACTCTTTCTTCAGCAGGAACAACAACTATTTAAGCTGTTGCCTTTGGGTCACAGATACAAAGTGATGATACTATGTATCAACAGACTCAGGTGCAGAATTTACAATAGTGCCATAACTTTAATAATTACTTTGCTTCTTTGAAGTCGGGTGCGTGCAATGCAATACTGCATGCCCAGGGTGCATTTCATAAAACTGGTTTACTGAAAACTAGTTTTAAGTTTTCTCAAGCTAATTAACTCATTAACTCAACCAACAATCTTCTCCATTTCCTCTCCTATGCAGCTGTAGCGCTGTTTCTTCATTAAAATCTCAACTCCAGTGGTGTGAAATAGGCACTTCCTGTTGCCATGGTGACTGGTCAAACCAGCACTCTACTAATCATAGCTTTTCATATTTGTTACGCACACGCTCCACTCTGAGTTTCCCTACACAGAGTTGATTTAAATAACTCACAGAAGCTTTATGAAACCAAAAACTCAAGAATTTCCAAACTTGGGCTAGATCAACTCAGAGTTGAGGATTTGAGTTTGTTAAATCTGCTTTGTGAAACGGACCACCAGTCAATGGGCAGAAGTAAACTGAATTGAATGTTTGAAAATAGATGCTCTCATCTAATCTATCATCATCTGATGGATAAGGAGTTGGATAGACATGTTGTAAAAAAACAAACTAAGGTATCAAAAAAACATTACGGCTGTAAAAGGGTACTGGCTCAAGGTTCTACAAGGTATTGACTTAAATACTTTTTAAATCTTTGTAAAAAAACATTTTTAAAAACAAAAAACAAAAACAGATGACAATGTCCTTTCTTCCACTCCAAATCACATTAAATCCCAATAAAATCCATTCAATAGAGATACACCAATCCAATAACTGAATCGGGGATCAGCGATTTTCATATCGGATATCCAATCGAATGCATGGTTATTTATTTCTTTTTTCTGCAAATGCATTAATAAATACTGATAATAAGTACATTTCTGTCAGTGTTAATTTGTTACCCTTTTTAAACATTTTTTTTATATAAAGGCTAAAGCCTTCACTCCCAGGGCAAGATGTACAATTCATCTATTAAACAGTTGAATCGGATTATATATCGACCGATATGCTCAGCCCAGGTATCGGATTGCATCGGTGAATCCCAACTATTTGTTTGTAATTATAAACTTATAACGTAGACACGTTTAAAAGATATAAATACATTTTGCAAGATACTTTATGTTAAACAGGTTTCTCCTTCCCATGGAGATGCAGAAGCCTTACCGACACCAAGAGCAGTCCTTGACATCAAAGCGAAGTAAATCATTCAGCATGTTTTTCCTGTTGGGAGGCACAGACTTGAAATCCTCTGAATGTGGTGTAATGAACAGGAGGAAATCACTTTATTCTTAGCAAACACTCACCCATTATCCCCTCCAAACACATATATGGCATCCCGGTAGGCCACAACAGTGTGTTTGCTGCGCCTGTTGGGGGGTGGACAGATTGTCAAGATGGAAGTAAAAGAAAGGAATGTGGCTTAGTGAAGATGACTGATTGTTACCTTGCACCGACAAATTCATCACACGGAGGGAGTCTCCTCCATCTATGTACTGTCTCAAATGGCCCAAAGTTAAGAGTCAAATACTCCACACTATCCGAACAGCTGTGGTCAAAATCAACACTGGGAGCCACTTTGGTTGACTTGCAGGACATTTTGGCGAGCAACTCATCTGACAGACAGGGTCAGCTTTCAGGGCAGCTCGTCCGTAGAGACGTCCTCTGTTAGCGACATTTTTAAAGACAGCCCCCTGCTGTTATATTTGGCAAAAGCATGTAAGCCCTTCTGAAAAAAGGACGTTAAGTTAAGGAAAAAGTAATAAAACAATATCACTATCTCCGTGCTCTCCTGTGCTAGCTAACTTGTTTCGTTCGGCTAAGCTAGGAGACAAACAACGACAGATATTACGGCAAAAACATGCAGATAAACTGCTGCTAACATTACACTAAAATGTCTGAAAAAACGACTAAAAATCAAAATTCGCAAATATATAATAACCCGGTTTCGGGACTGAAAATAGCTAAATAACAGGACTGTTATCACAACACACCCCGGTCATACTTCCTGTTAAAGAAAACGCCCCTCTTCTTCTTCTTCATGTGAATTCACCACAGGTAAGCAACGTTGTGGCGCATTACCACCACCGCCTGGTACCAATTGTCAATGTCAGGCCGTAAATTCTCCATCTCTTATGAGTACTTTCTTCCATAACAGCAGCAGAGGCTATTTCATGAGGGTAGCATGGCTCTTTAGGGGCTTCTTTATGTTAGGAAGTGGAATGAGCACTGTTAACTTTAGGCAACAACATCATAGGCTTAAAAAGATGCTGATGTTTTAAGCAAACATCAGCACTCCAACTACAGATTGACCTATCCTAGTGCAAGTTGACAGTAATGACAATTGCTCCTGGACTGGTGTCAAAACATCACCGGGAAAAGAAATTATGTGAAATTCTTTGATTTAAGATTGATTTGTGGTTGCTGGTCCAAGAAAACTTTTAAACTAAGACAACAGTTGGTTGAAATAAAATGATGTACTGGGGCAATTGCATTACTTGATATCCTTTCAGAACAATTAAGTATTTTTGAATGGAACTGAATATAAGTTACGGTATTTACTCCTTTTGAGAAAGTGAAGTAAATGTTGATTACATTTATTTGGATTGAATCAAGATCTAAATTTTTTGACTGGTCCAACTTGTAAAGCCAATTTGTAAAGCATGTAACTTATATTCAACTTTTGAAATTCAACATTTTTAATGGAATTTCTGCAGCCTTATATTTATCTAATTAAAACAGGGCCAAGTCAAACCTGAGTGGACAAATTTATTCATGTACAAGGTTTTTTGCATTTCTATAGGGCCTTGAAATTACCTCAGCAGCAGCCCATTTATAAAAATAGTGTATGACATACGAGACAAGACTTATGCACAAGAACGAATATGAAAATAGCTATATTTTAAAAGTAAATATTAAAACTGTAAAAAAAATCATAAATAAAAAAACACACAGGTATTAATAAATAAATGCCTATTAAGTTAAAAATGGGAATTGCTGAGGTTACAAATAAGCAGCAGAAGAGCAAAAATTAGGTTTCAGAATTATGGGAATGCTGTGCAATAAGCATGATTGTGGAAGCAAACACTTTCAGAGCAGATAAATAGACTGTGCAAAAAGTCATTAGCATGTGTGGTCATTGACATTTGTTGGATGCTTAAAAACTCTTGATCAAATTAAATGTGCAACAAATATCCAGTTTATTATCAAATACTTGGCCAGCTGAGAGCAGCAAAGTTTAAAAGTCGAACAGCAGCTTGGAAGAAAGTATTCCAGCTCTAATGTCTTTACATATAAAAAAAATAATAAATAAAAGTTTTTAGTAACATTGCTTTTAAAAGTAAATTTTTTTCTTAAACTGATATTAAATATTTGTATTTAGCAAATAACTAGACAGCTTTTCATCATGTGCCTTACCTTTTCATACAACTGTACTATAACCTTATGTAACCCCTGAGTGAGTCATTAATGCACTGAGTTTTGTGGGCTTGCTGCTCCTATAAGGCTTTAATTTAGTCCATGCTTTCTCCATCTGAGGTTAGTGGCTCTTCCCGTGGTTTGCTGCATTCTGAGAGCCTAAATGACTTTATGACTTTTTCTAGATGTATGCTGGTCACTTTATTGTTTGTCTTTTTTTATTTTTCTCATTTTTATTTTTATGTTGAACATAGTTAAGCATTTATATTCAACGCTTTAGTGGGCACTCAGGGAAATTATTTGAAAATTCTAATAATTAATATTGTTATTGGAATCCAGGACAAGACCTTATTACCTTTTTTAACATTCAAAAAATTTGGATATTTTGATGGCAAAATTTTATGTCAATTTTTAACAAGAAATTACCATTTTCCCGATTATATTAAGAAAAATAACAAAAGTGCTTCTATAAGAAATTTATGAAAAACACTCTGGGAGTAAAAGAAACACATTTTCTTTGGTACAACATTACCTTAGAGGCATTAATGCTGATACTGACACATTTTTTAGTTTAGAAACCTAAATCTAATTGTTAACTAGGTTTATTAACTTTTTAACTTTACTTTTTAACTTTTCAATTAGCTCTTTACCTTTTTTCCTTTTTTTCATTTTAATTTACAGTAGGTAATATATCATCTAATTAGTCAAATGCCAAAATAAGATGTAAAGCCATGTCGCAGTATTTTTGCTGGATGGCTGGATATAGATTTTGTGCTTCTAGACCTCACTGAGGAACGGGGGGACAACATTTGTAAGGGGTATGCAAAAAATAAAAAATGGTAACTTGCCCTATAAAGGGTTAACATAACAGGTCTTTGCTTAAAATTTGAATAACAACCCTGGAAAACGTTCCTTTTTAAGCTGAAAAATCTTCTCTTCGGTGGTCATTATCCCAATAAACCAGACTGATTGTAATCCTAATTAGAAAATAGTCTTTTAAATTTAGCCGTCCATTGAAGATGCAATGGTGAATGATTAATAATGCAAATTATTAATCTGCAATATTAATCATTCACCATTCCATCTTCAATAAATTCAAAGGATGCAAATGATTAATTTGCATTATTAATAATTGTGTGTGACAGTTTCAGGTGTGCAACCAAGCGAGAGATTAAAGTATATGTCATAAGGAGGCCGCCACCTTTGAAATATAATTTAACTCTCTGCAGTCAGACTTTCCGTCCATCTTTTTCCATCAGAGATAGGTGTGAATCATCATCTAATAAATGATCAACAGGAACCAAAGGGTGGAGAGGAGTTATATTTACTTCACCAGGATTACTGATTATTTTGATCCAGAGGTCCTTAACCACCAGATATTCACACTGAAGAAAAATCATAAAAATAAAAAGCGTCTAGAGAAAGAAAAACAATAACAGTCTTGTGTTTTTCTGCCAAATAATTGGTAACAAATAAATAGCAAGCACTCTTAAGATGTTTGCTTTTTTCCACAGTGAGGTTTAGAGTCCTTAAAGGTCAAATCTGTATTCCAGGCTTTCATATCTTATCTGTTGTTGATGGGGTTTTTTTTAGCTCAGAGGGTAATAGGTTGCTTTTGTAACCATTTAACCTGCTGGTTGCTGCCAGAGCTTCTTTTTATTTGATTTTGTTTATCATAGAGATCTGAAAGTAATCATTTTTGGGAGTGGCATATAAGACTGCTAAAACACATGTGTTTATGCAGTTGTGTACCTCTAAAGTATGGGAATTTATGTTTACTATATCTCGTCGCTCTTGAGTCATATTTAAGTGTGGAACAAAAATGTGTAACTGAATATTTCACGCATGTAAACCTTTTTTGCTCCATTTCAAATGTGAATTAATAAAATTGATATTTTATTATTAGTTTTTCTTTATTACCTTTTTATTAGTTCATGTTTTTGCAGATATTTATAATCAAATAAATACAATGATTCTGTTTGTAATATGAATCAAAATCTAAATTGCCCTGAAAAGAACTACAGTGATGCTGATGAATTTAGCCAGCAGCAGACTGGATATAATTTCATGTAAACTGGACCTGCTGGTTTTGTTAAATGACTTTAAATGACTTTTTTTCCCCCTTCGGACTTTGATGCTCAGAAAAATCTCAGTATAACCTTATGCTGAACTCATGTAAAAACAACAGACAAACGGAAACTATTTAAACTATTGGTCAGACTTACCTATTCAAAATAACTAAACCAAATAAAGGTAATTTACCTCCCTAACAAAGCTAAACAGGAGAAAGAAAAAGCAAAGTTGACAGCTGAAGGCGTGGCTGGCTAAATGAAAAGGTCAAAGGCAGTGTGGTATATGTCATCTCCTCTAAACATGATCAATCTGCTTTTTTTTGCCTGCTGGCTCCAAAATTATAGGGAAACACAATCATAAATACTCCAGTCAAAGTGTAGAGCAGTTGCTACTTCAATGTACTTCAAAGTAAAACCCAAACGTTTTCCATATTATGTACATTTACTGCATAAATCACAAAATTTGCCTTTGCAAAATTCAGAAGTTTACATATGGCATTTAAATATAACCTAATTTGTTGTGATTGTCCAAATAATGATTTAATGACTTTGCAAACATCTGAAAGGTCAATTAACAGCATTTGAGTTAACCCAAAGCACACAGATCTTACAGCAACATCTCAGACATGCTGTTTCTTGATGTAAAATCTTGGGAAAACCTAAAAAAATCAGCCAAAAAATTCAATAAAAGAATTACGGACATTCTCTAGTCTGGTTAATCCTATAGTAAACTGTTGAGATGCCATTTAAAGAAAAGAATCATTCATTCTAAAATAACCATAAAAAGCCAGAAATCATTTTTTTTTTATTGCAGTTAAGACCTTAATGTTTTTATGTATGCTTTGGCTTTGATGAAACTGACAAAATACCCGAATATTGCTAACAATCCACTTACTTTCCAACATGATGGTTAGAGCACACGACCCATGTCTGGAGACCTTAGTCCTCGACAAGGCCGACCCGGTTTTGAATCTGAATCGTGGTCCTTTGCTGCATGTTTTCCCCTCTTTCATACCCCCTGTCCTGTCAGCCTACTGTCCAAAAAAAAAAAAAAAGTTGCCACTAGTGCCATAAAAACTATAAAAAAAAAACAACTAAAAGAATTGTGTGCCAAGCTGACCCATTTCTGGGGAAAATGCAAGAAATTATCAAAATGGTGAAAACAAAAGATAATAAATATAAACCCAAAAATGCAATAATACACACTCTGCAGTGGGAAGGCATAAGAGAGGTGAGATATGATGCTACACATGAACATATCAGTATCCATAACCTGAATGGTCATTTGCTTGTATCATGCCATCTCCTCTCTTACTTTTGATTAAGGTGCATAATGCTCTTTCCAAACAGGTGCATAAAAGCAGAGGAAAAAACACATATGCCCTGAAACATGCCTTAAAGGCATTGCTTCTCTTCTAGTTGCCAACTCAAACAATGTTAGGATAGCAGTCAACAACAGTTAAATGGTGACAGGTGAGCCAACATTAACTCTAAAACAGATGAGGCGGTAAAATGGACAGCACAAACAACAGATTGCAACA